GGCCGCCGGCCTAAGGGGGCGCACCAAGGGGGGTGTCCTACTCCCACCGGGAGTAGGACTCCCCTTTTCCAAGTTGGAGTAGGAGAGAAATAGGAAAGAGGGGAGGAGGGGAAGGAAAGGGGGGGCGCCGCCCCCCTTCCCTTGTCCTATTCGGACTAGGAGGTGGAGGGGCGCGCGGCCCCCTCCTTGCTCCTTCCTCTTCTCCCTCTTGGCCCATGTAGGCCCATTAACCTCCCGAGGGGTTCCGGTAACCTCCCGGTACTCCGGTAAAATGCCGATTTCACCCGGAACCATTCCGATGTCCAAATATAGGCTTCCAATATATCAATCTTTATGTCTCGACCATTCCGAGACTCCTCGTCATGTCCGTGATCACATCCGGGACTCCGAACAAACTTCGATACATCAAAACTTATAAACTCATAATAAAACTGTCATCGAAACGTTAAGCGTGCGGACCCTACGGGTTCGAGAACTATGTAGACATGACCTAAAACCATTCTCGGTAAATAACCAATAGCGGGACCTAGATGAACATATTGGTTCCTACATATTCTACGAAGATCTTTATCGGTCAAACCGCATAACAACAAACTTTGTTCCCTTCGTCATCGGTATGTTACTTGCCCGAGATTTGATCGTCGGTATCCAATACCTAGTTCAATCTCATTACCGGCAAGTCTCTTTACTCGTTCTGTAACTAACTCATTAGTTACATGCTTGCAAGGCTTAGGTGATGAGTATTACCGAGAGGGCCCAGAGATACCTCTCCGACAATCGGAGTGACAAATCCTAATCTCGAATTATGCCAACCCAACATGTACCTTCGGAAACACCTGTAGAGCACCTTTATAATCACCCAGTTACGTTGTGACGTTTGGTAGCACACAAAGTGTTCTTCCGGTAAACGGGAGTTGCATAATCTCATAGTTGCAGGAACTTTGTGTATGTCATGAAGAAAGCAATAGTAGTATACTAAACGATCAAGTGCTAGGCTAACAGAATGGGTCATGTGAATCACATCATTCTCCTAATGATGTGATCCCACTAATCAAATGACAACACATGTCTATGGTCAGGAAACATAACCATCTTTGATCAATGAGCTAGTCAAGTAGAGGCATACTAGTGACTATAGTTTTGTCTATGTATTCACACATGTATCATGTTTCCGGTTAATACAATTCTAGCATGAATAATAAACATTTATCATGATATGAGGAAATAAATAATAACTTTATTATTGCCTCTAGGGCATATTTCCTTCAGTGACTATATACGGCGCAAAATGAGTGAATCTACATTTTAAAATATGTCTACATACATCCGTATGTTGAGTCCATTTGAAATGCCTAGAAAGACAAGTATTTGGGAACGGAGGGAGTATTACGTAGAATTTGTAGCCAAGCCCCAGCTTTCCAGAGAGTAGTCTCTTGCATGATGGTCCATAGAATGCGTTGGCTTGAATAAATCTCCCTAAGTTCCTCACCAAGAAATATATGGAGAATAAAATCACGTACGGCGCCATTGACGAATTTTAATCTTACTAGAGTTCTCATGTCATTTACTTAAGTAAGAGATTATCTTATCTTATGGAACGTACTCATCCAAATTCGATTTTACATTTGCCGAGTTACACTTTGGAGCGTGGCAACTCATTTCCAGTCTAAAATGACGTAACATCAACAACAATAGCACCTGTAAGATTTGTCTAGCAATGGAGGAGGATCCAAAGAAATTAAATGTTAGTAAAATTTTTAAAATGAAAAAATAGTTTGTCGAAATTAGATGAGTATTTAAGTATGTGTGTATAAATGTTCGACCCGTATTTACAAAATGGGCACCCCACAAATTTAAAAATGTGTTGTGCTAATTTAAAAAATGTTTAGCGTGTGAGATGAAAGATTTAATCTTCTATTGAAAATGTTAGTTCCGGGTTTACGAATATTCATATTATTGGAAGAAATTGTCGAATAATTGTGTCCCGTATGGACGAGCAACCAGTGTGATTCGTGAGTGTTATATATGGCAGAGGTGTATGTGAACCGTGAGTGCTATGTGTGGAAGAAATGTATGTGCCTGTAGTACGTGTGAAAGGAAGAACTATGTACTACAGCTACTATACTAGGTTAAGAGGACACAATATATGTACTGAGATACAGGTAGATGCGTGACAGCTCATGGATGCACTGACAATATGTTAAAAGTCTTTTATAAAGGCGAAGGTAAGCATCCGCCTTTCATTGCCTTCAAGATACGTGCATTTTATACATGCATCTGGTATGCGATCTAGACGCTAAGTGCCATTAGTAGGGTTATCGTGTTTTGGTGGTGAGTGATCTAAGGAATTGTACAAGATGAGGTCAATCTAAAACAAGAACACATCCGAAACATTAGCACATGCAAGGGAGGAGGATCTGGAGAATGCTTTGATCCACAGCTGATAGACGTTTCTGGGAGGAGGCTGGATTATTGTTGGATGTTCGACTAAATACACTGGCTTGTGATATCCTGTGTGATTAATTGTTCACGAATAACCAGCGATAAGAAATTATTACCATCATGTAGTCTATTTGACACTGCTGCAATCAGTAGACACATGCGTGAAAAAAACAGGCTTCATTGGGTGCTCTCAATAAAACTCACAATAGAATAACTTGATCTTCTATACATCCATAACAAGAAAGTGCTTGTTCTGATAGGCCATGGATGGTGGCTTCGTGAACCCGATACCATTAAGTTAAACACGGATATGACATGAGATTTGACACTGGCACTGTATAGGATATGGAGGTGTCATTTAGTCCGCAAATACGTTAGTGGGAGCCTCAAGAAAACAGCTCTTCGGAGTTACTGATCCACTTGTTGTTGAAGCAACATCTTTTCAAGCATAAACCATTTTTGCAAATATCCGAGGCTGCCCTACAGTCTTGTATAGACCGATTTCTTGGATGTCATCAATCTCTAGAATACTTGCCACAACAAAATTCTGTTGTGGTTCCTATCTCTGTGCCAAGCTCATCTCCGTGCCAAGAAGGGCTAGGTAATAATACTACTACTTTTGATATGCAACATGTACTCCGTAGTTTCAACAACAAGCTCATCTCTCTGCCAAGAAGGGCAGTCCCGGAATAGGTGTAGTGTAGTCTCTTCAAAGCTGACAGTTATTGGAAGGCAGATGATTTTTTTCCTATGAAGCAAACTTCTTGAATAGACTTTGTCATGCAATAGATTCCTTTTAAAATTATAATTCTGAGCATTGGAGCACTCATGGTTTGGGAGATCATGTTGAAGGACCTTGTACATACTAGTCAATATGTACGTGCAATGCACGTTAATTTGGAAGTATATTAAGTGCATGCGGATATTAAGTAGGATATTATATGCATGTTATTACATGATTAGCATTATATTTGGCATGAAATTAACTGCACGCTAAACGTGTTGAGCGCTCGACATTGAAGGATTCTAGGTCGTTGGATTGACATGATTTGATGGCCGAGATTAATTGGATCTGCCCCTTTGGGTCTTTTTATATTGGTATAGATGAATAGACTAGCTAATTTCCTGTGCATGTACTCTGGTGGTTCAACATCGGTCTTGTCCGACATATATCTTACATCAATTTTGGTAGCATTTAATTTGGTGAAATTATGGGTAGTGGAAGGCAAGGCAAGTTTTGATATGTTAAGATTTTCGTAAGACTAATTTGATTTGGTTGAGTTAATGCAGCATGGCGTTTTGGCAAAGTATGTATTTTGTTTAGATTAATCCAAGTTAATATATTTATGTTATATTTTATTTTGTGGGGCCTCGGTTGGGGTTAACAAAAAAATGACACAAAATCAAAGGGGGGAGGAGAATATGGGAGGTAAAAAAACAGGTGGGAGGTGGAGGCGACTGAATGAACTCTCCTTTAATAATGCTGGTTTTACTTTGTGTGGCATCGGTTGCGGTAAACAAAAAACCAATAGGAAACTAAAGGGGGTGGAGAACGTGGGAGTTGGAGGTGACGGAGCGAACCCCCCTTTCATCGTAGTCATATTTATGTTGGTTTTTCTTTTGTGTGGAATTGGCCGGGGTTAGCAAAAGAACTAACTGAAAACCAAAGGGCGGCGGGGATTGGAACCTGGGGGAAAAACCATGTGGGAGGTGGAGGCGACGGCATGAACTCCCCTTTTCATAATGGTGGTTTTTTGTTTTTGCAGCATCAGTTGGGATTAACAAAAAAACCAACATGAAACAAAAGGGGGATGAGGATGTGTGAGGTGAAGGCGACGGAATGAACTGCTCTCTAATAGTAGAGATGATTAAGAGCATCCCCAACAGACTCGTAAAAGCTATTCTGAGCACTAAAAATCGTTCTTTTTGGGCGCGGATACGCTCCAGCAGATGCTATAAAATAGCGTGCGCAAAAAATTTAGAGCATGCGCTAGAAAGCGCTATCGCACGCTGCAAATTTGAGGCGCTGGACTGCACGCGCTTCATAAGTTGCACTGCGTGTTTTTTTGGCATGCGTTTTTGGGCATCTGGAAAATCAATGTTGGCCGTGGCACGCTAAAAGTGCTACAGTGGCACTGTAAAACTATTTTTGCGTGTCTACTGGAGGTGCTCTAACTAGGTTCTCTCCGTGTGTATGCCCATTTATCCGACTGTTCATTGAGTTAGTACTTTTGGAGGAATAATATTAATTCTTTGTATTGCTGGTAGGCTTGTTGGACAAGAGAGTATAAAGTTATGTATCCTCCTCCAGAAAGTGTTTGACGAAGATTTCTTGTTGAATAGTAAAAGTTATTTATCCTCTCTTCAATTACCTTGCCAGAGCATGATAGTGCTGCCCTACCCTCGAGTGCACTTCGCTGTCATCTCAAAATTTGACCTCAACTGTTAATGCTTTTCCACGAAAAAGATCCAACAGACATATTGCAACAAATTTAGCCACTAGATTGGCACCTTTCTTGAAATGATATTGTATCCATCTCTTGTTATAAGCATCATGCATGTACGAGATGATCCATCGACCTATCTGGATGCATCTTGCAATCTCGCTGGAAGTGCTTCATAAACCTCGGTATGTTTCGACATGGCCAAACCTACACTATGTTTATAAACATAATGTAATATTGTGTTGATATATTTGAAAGTGTTCACCCAGACAAAGAGGAAATTATTAATTTGAGAATATATCGCACTAATATATAAATAAGGGTGATTAATGTGGTGTGCGCATACACGTATCACCGGGTGGTGTAGGTATGTCATTTTCGAAGCTTATTGAAAGCTCGTATATAATCCATCCGTCGCATATTATAAGATGTTATTACATCAAATATACTCTTATATCTTCATGGGTTGTATCGAATGTCTGCCGGAGAAAAAATAAATTACTTCCCAACTACTGCATTGTTAGGAACGCTTGCTATTGTGGGCCAAACAATATTTCGTTGTCACATCCTGATCAATTCAATCTGGGTGCGAACGAGTACGTAGTTATCCTTTGACGCTTTAGTTTTAATGTATACATGCTTATCGTACATACTCTTCAGAAATTCTTCATTTCAGAGATGTGCTCATCTTATCATACATACTTATCCAAACATTAATTTACATTTCAGAAATTCTTCAAATTTTATTCATAATTTTGTCGAATCAACTGAGTTACACTTCTCTGCGTGGAATTCATAATTCCACAGAGAATACAACAAATCTAGGTGCAAAACTGGATTTTGAATGTGGATATTACTGATTCCTCTCCTATCGCTTGCTATATACCCACCCCCTGTATCGAGATGTAGTAACACACTTACCTTTGAAATTAAATGTTAATGACATTTTTAAATTAAATATTTAAAATTTAATGTATAAATGTCTTTCCCATATTTACGAAATGGGCACCTGACGTTTCAAAAATGTGGTTTGCTTATTAGACAACAATTCAGCATGTTTGATCAAAGACTAAATCGTGCGGCGAGATGAGTAAGAGGGACGAGAGAATTCGGCAGTGCGATCAAGATATACCCCTTTTCACCAGGCAGGGCTACACGGGTTCCTGACATCTTTGTTGATGGTGATTGGAGGCGCGTAACGATATTTTTTGAGCTGTAGCAAATATGCCCGGGAAAAAGAGAAATTATTTCCCAACTAATGTATAACCCTCTCCGACCCCGAGACACACTCGAGTACCGCCCTTCTCTGAGCGTACCAGCCGAGCAAGCGAGCAATGGTGGCGCCCAATCGAAGGATCGGGTAGGAGGATGCCCGGCACGTCTGCTTCTCGAAGCGCCTCGTGGTGTTCTTCAGCAAGGCCACCGGTCTGGCGGTCCTCACCGGCGCCCAGGTGGCCACCCTCACCTTCTCACCCGGCGGCAACGAATTCTCTTTTCTCCACCCCATCGTGGAACGCTTCTTGCCGGGGGAGGGTGTGGGGGCTGGCGCGAGGGAGGAGGGCACTAGTTGCCGGCGAAGATAAGAAACTAGAGCAGCTCCACCAGGAGTTCGACAAGCTGCGCACCGAGCTGGTCGAGGTGAAGAAGCGCATGGAGCGCAAGGAGGAGATCATAGAGAAAGACCGTGACGCGGGAGACCGGATAGTGGCTTGGGTCGACCCGAACGTGCGGGACATGGGGGGCGAGGACATGGCGGCCTTCTTTGCCATGCTGATGTGTAGAAAATTCCGCGCCAACCAAGATCTCCACGAGGAGATGCATGTCGACATGAGCTGCATGGTGGAGGTGGCCCCACCACTGCACCTCCAGATCTTCGGTGGCAGTACTTTTGAGTTCCGTAGCAGCAGCAGCAGCAGCAGCAGACGGTGATGCAGACGCTGCATCCGCCTTAGGGGTTCACCTCCGAGGTTAATATGCAGAAGCGCATGGTGATGGAGCTGCCTCCGGCAAAGCAGGTCACCGCCGGGATGGATATGCAAGAGATGCCTCCGCCGCCGGGATTCGCCACGGGCATGGATATGGAGGAGATGCAGATAGCGATTCCTCAGCCGCCAGGGTTGGACAACGAGATGGGGATGCAAATGGAGATACATTAGTTGCTTATTGCGATGCCTCCGTCACCGGAGATCCCTGCCGGGTTGGAGACGAATGCCGGCTTCCCGTTCCTGTACTGAGATCCAAACCCGTGTCCATCCGTTCAAGTATAATCATTCAACAATGGACCATAGTTCGTCAAAATATGTTGTCGTCTAGTTAATCTGGATGAAATCTTTCGTCAAATTTTATGTCGTTTCTTTATTATAAAGAATTAATGGCCAAATCTGTATTGCCCTGTCGCTGACTGCTGCTATTTAATGAAATACTGACATCTTCTCAAATGTACTACACATGTTCGCTGGCTACAAGATTTTGAGTCAGCAATGTACTAGTGTTGACTCCTTTTCTCAATGACTTAACATGGTAACAAGCACTTGAGAACATTTTTATATCGGTGAATAAATTGTAGAACAAGATGAATAGTTTTTTTAGGATTATGTGAATAGTTTTTGAAAAATCATGATGAACATTTTTATAAAGAAAAAACATAGCATTTTATTACTATGCAATATACATTTTTTAAATGTGGTGACCATTTTTGAAACACATGATGAAAAACTTGTAAAACATTAGGAAATGTTTTCAAAATGCAACAAACATTTCGTATGAGATGATGACTACATTTTAAAACACGGTGAACATAATTTCAAATGCTTTTAACATTTCTGGAAAAAATGTGATGTACATTTTAATGCATGGTGAACATTTTTGGAAAATACACTATGAACATATTTAAGTAAGGGATGAAAAAAGTGACAATCGAAAGAAAAATCTAAGAAATAAAATTCTGAAATTAAAAGTGAAATAAGATAATGATAAAAAGGAAGAAATAAGGGAAAATAGAAAGAAATAAAAACAAATAAAAAGAACAGAAACACATAAAAATTAACATATATATATTCATGCAATTAAAAAATGTCCAGACATTTGGAAAAAGACCGTGCTTATTTTTCTAAACCGAAACATGAATTAAACCACATGATTCCTTTCAAAAATTCATAATTTTGGAAAATGATCTTGAATTTTTATAAATGTGGAGAGGAACTTGTCGACAACCCTACTCCCACCGCTAACTGCAATCTCATTGCAGGCATCCAGCTGAATGCCGTGCGTGGACTTCCAACTAGGACAAAAAGCGGTCGGACTCAGTTGCTTGTCGAGGGTGGACTTGCAACTCAGTAAAAAATGGGTCGGGCCCCATCTACAGCTAAAATTTCAATTAATAATAACTTAAATATACTATGATAATGGAGAACCCAGGGAGATGGGTCTTACATTGACCTGGCACAATTAATTTAGAATAATACTTTAGCTCTCACGTTTCTTATTGGCTATACTTCATAGCTTATGATTCTTATTGTTGTTTCCTCTCCATCTGTTGTGCTTTAGCTCTCACGAATAAGTCGTCCCAGTGCCTATAAATTAACAAAACACAACATCATTCCAACTTCATTGAACGAAAACAAACAAGAACAAAAGGTAGAAGAGAATATCTAAGAAACGTACAATCAATCAAATTATGAATCTGAAGAGAAAAGTACTCCCTCTATAAAGAAATATAAGAGCATTAGCGCTCTGATATTTCTTTACGGAGGGAGTACATTATTAAAATTTCAGGTGTGCATGTGGATCGGTCAATTAAACAATAAACATAAGAATTAGTTATAATGGTTAAAGAAAATGCATAACCAAGTGTTAGAGTTATAGTGGTTAAAGAACATACAATATGTGCATCCCTTAGCTTAGTATACACCTCACCCATCGTTTACCTTCCCCAAGAAATGCCCTCCTTTCCCGCTCACTGTACGAAGCTAGTGGCATGATTGTAGTACCTGAAGCTGCAAAAGATGACAAGGAATGGAACTGAATGAATTTCCAAAATACCTACCAGTCCATGGTATCAACATGAACTAAATGAACTCCACTTAAATTTGTTTGGAATGTGTCACGGCCGGTTTTTCGGGTATAAATTTTCAGAAAAAGACCCTCGTGCTCATCAGCCCCAGGATTACTGTTAGCTGATGAGGCTCCAACTTGATACCGAAATTCCAAGCAAAAATACAAAACATGTAGTACAAGACCATTCTGGCCTGTGAGTACAACAAATGGTTTCTAGTGGTAGAGGGCGGAAGCGGTTTGAGGATCATCAGGGTCTATGGGACTCCATTTCCCATCAGGAACAGCTGACCAGGTTAACTCCTATCTTCACGAGGCTGCTATCATCGTTGCTTAGGTTCCGGGGCTGTCGTCGCGTCGCTCCTCTCCGTGCAAGAAATCTGGCCAAGACAATAGCCAGGGACAAGCCAGTGAGTACTTTGAATGTACTCGCAAATATTATGAACACAGGTATAACATAACAATGGTATGCTGAAAATAGTTTATGCTCATGACGTCAGTCACAACAGATAAATAAAACTCTGATGCGTGCAAGCATGTTATTTATGAATATGCAATAACATACTAGTATTAAAATTTATGAAATAAATAACAAGCAATGCCACAGTCGGGCGTCTGAGCGACACCACATAAAGGGCTTTTAAAAGAAATGCCATAGTCGGGTGTCTGAGCGACACCACATAAAGGGCTTTAAAAGAAATGCCACAGTCGGGTGTCTAAGCGACACCACATAAAGGGCTTTTAAAAGAAATGCCACAGTCGGGCGTCTGAGCGACACCACATAAAGGGCTTTAAAAGAAATGCCACAGTCGGG